CATAACTACATCAAGTTTCAAAATCAACTTTTTAAACAAGTCAGAGGATTGCCAATGGGCTTACATTCCAGCACCTCGATCTGTAATTATCTTTTTATTTGTCAAAGAATTTACTTCCAAAAAAATCTACAACCACAAGAGTTAAATTACTACAAACACACCTACAGATTTATTGATGACCTTATTACAATTAATAATTTTGGTAAAATTGAAAACTCCGACATTTATCCGAATTGTCTTAAACTTAATAAACTAATAATTCACAAAATAGCATAGACTTTCTAGATCTTCAATCATTAACTACAAAAAAATTTTACTTTTTGACAAAACAAGAAACTTCAATTTCAATACTAACAAATTAATAAATTGGAACTCCAACATATCCAAAAAAGTAATTAACAATACTATAATTAATCAAATACAACGAATTAAAACGATATGCACAGATACAATAGATTTACAACGCGAAATTTTGATCCTTATCAAAATTCTCAAAAATAATCTAATTCCCTTTCAATTTATCAACCATTGCCTTAAAAGAGCAGGCGTTAAATACTCACTCTAAATCATTTAACTGATAGGGATATGATAATTTATTCCTAAACCTGAGAAGGCGGTATAGTGGATGACTGTCAGTTGAAAGATTTGTATATAGTGTAATTACTCAATTGTATATATTGTAAAAGCTAATTGTCTTCAGACATATACTGTTACTATACTGTTACTAAAAAATGGGCCTATTCCTCCTGCCTTTAGACTGTCTACTAGCTCTTGGATAGCGAAAATGCCTTTTTCCTTTCTTAAATTCTTAATCATTGCGACACGACAATTAGCCAGAAATTAATTAATTTCCATTCACTAGTATTTTTAAAAAAATCTTAACAGACGGTCTCTCTCAGATAAGAACTCCACAAAATACATCCCTCAAGAATTCCGAGTCCCACCCACTACCATAAATTTCTTCACCCAAGTCTTACCGACTGATATAATTCAAAGCCCCTACTGCCGCTAAGAATTTTCGGACACCCTACACTTCTGAGTCAGACACGAAGAGAACACACTGCCAACTCCCCCACTAGAAAGAATGTAAGTTACTTAATACCTTCTGGCCTTTATATCTTCATGTACATTCACTGATCTTATTTATATATTATTTTCTATTTTTTTTTTATTATTTTTATATTTTTTATGTTTTCTTTGATTTGTTTTTGCAAAGTTTGCATTATTTATCTTTTTTATAATCTTCTATGTTTATTTCAACTTTACTTTGATTTCGATTTCATAATGACAATTTCCAATGTTTAATTTCTACAAATAATATAGTACTCAAATACATAAAGATGATAGTGTCGGGGACGATTACTCGAGTTTTACAAGATTTCTCTACAGTAATTGATTTTTACTCCAAATTGAATTGACTAAAATGCTTCATGAGAATCAGTTCTCTTTGAGTAACAACTATTCACGGAAATATTTGGCCTGACTAGAATTGCCGGTTTGGCTTTAACTTATAACTCGAGTAAAGACGAAACACTTTCATATTTACGTATTTTTATCAATTATTGATCATTGAATGGGAGTTGGTTTGTTCCCCTTGAAAAGTCAACTAATTTCCGATCAATGACAATAATTACATGTTTTAATTTTTACTTTTACAATTGTAATATTATTCTTCGTGATGATTTAACTCCAGTCCCCGTTAAAACATTATTAACATTTTGCTTTCAAATTACTTCAAACATCTTTCAAAATAAACTTACCAGTATGGATGCACACTTTTAAAATAATTCTACTTTAATTAAACTTAGGAGATAATATAATCAATTAATCAATCCTGTTTAGGAAATAATTAATATATATATATATATATATATATATATATTTTTTTTTTTTTTTTTTTTGAAAAAAAGAGGACTTCGACCATTCCCAGGACCCCAGAAAAGAATTGTAGAAAGTTTGGTGACTGTTTCGCGAACAAACACAAAACAGACATTCTCCCTTATACATACGAGGCGAGGTATCGGAAACTAAGTACTTTTTTGAAAAAAAAAAAAAAATAGTAAAAACGATTTTTTTTCGAATCCAATTTTATTTTTACATGAAAATACATGTCTAAAAAAACTATTTTTCAACATAGTTTCCGGAAATGATCAAACACTTGTCATAGCGGGTGACCAGTTTTTGTATACCATCGTCAAAGAAACTTCCCGCCAGTTTCAATAACCACGACTCCACAGCATTTTTCGTGTCATCGTCAGATCGAAAACGCTTGCCACCAAGCTCGCGCTTCATGTGCAGGAACAAGCGATAGTCGGACGGCGCCAAGTCCGGGCTGTACGGCGGGTGATCGAACTGCTCCCAATGAAACTGTCGAATTAACGATTGAGTGACATCGGCAGTATGGGGCCGAGCATTGTCATGGAGCAACACAATTCCTTTACTGAGCAGTCCTCTTCGTGTGTTTTGAATGGCACGCCTTAGTTTTGTTAAAGTCTCACAATATGGTGCCGTATTAATGGTTTCACCTCTGGGAGAAATTCAGTAAGCAGAACGCCTTTCCTATCCCAGAAGACAGTGCACATGATTTTTTGCGATGACATTGTCACTTTGAACTTTTGTTTTTTCGGAGAATGAGTGTGTCTCCACTCCATCGATTGTTGTTTCGATTCTGGTGTGAAATGACAAACCCAAGTTTCATCGCCTGTCACAATTTGGTTTAAAATGTTTTCTCCCTCATCACTGTACCGCGTCAGAAATGTCAGGGCACTACCAAGTCGCTTTGTTTTGTGAAATCAGTGAGCATTTTTGGAACCCATCGGGAACACAGTTTGCGATAATTGAAGCGGTCAGACACAATTTCGAACAAAACAGTACGTGAAATTTGTGGAAATGCCTCTGAAAGAGTTGTCATTGTGAAGCGTCTGTTCTCATGAATTGCTTCATCAACTTTCCTTACCAAATCATCGGTGACAACTGAAGGCCGACCACTCCGAGCGTCGGCGTGGACATTTGTTCGACCTGCATTAAACGTTCTTACCCACTTTCTCACCATTCCATCACTTATCGCGTATTACCGTAAACTTCTGTCACTTGACGATCAATTTCGGCCGTTTTAACATTCCTCGCGTTCAAAAATTTAATCACGGCACGAATCTCACAGTCAGCGGGAGAACTAATTGTCTTAAACATTTTGAATGTGCACAGCAAACTGAAAACACAACATAGAGCAACCAAAATGGCGACAATTGAAAGTTAGTGAACAAGGAAGACTAGTGCGCATGCGCGGGACGCCTACCACAGCGCTGCGACGGCGCTAGAATGAAACGGTACTTAGTTTCCGAATACGCTACGTATATAGTATAATAAAAAATACCGATTTATGTGTTTTAAAGATCTTAAGTTTGACTAACGTTTATTTTATTTTAAAACTTCACTATCATCTCTTATTTTCCACTTCCGGCCAAATTAAAAGCGTTAACATGTTTATGCAAATTGTACTCACTAAAATTGTATTTAAGTTGTGGCTTTTTGCCCAAGAGCAGAGTTAGATGGGAAAAGAGTGAGCCTTCTTGCAACTATACTTCACGCGAGCTCCGATCAGTTGCTGTCTGCCTTTAAGGCCAGAGGTTTTATTCCTCTCGAAATCTAAAGACGTATTGTAGATTTCCGCAGTTTGTATACTGCATACGTAATAATTTAAAAGGCCAGTCTTAGTGTTAGTCATTTGTGTAAAATATTCAAAGTTAGCTTTTATTTAAATTTTATTTAGTAGTTCTTATATTTTTACGTTTAGACCACAGGTGATTGGTCTTTGTATCCCGAAGTACGAGAGGGCCTGTAATATCGTGGAAAATAAAGGGTAATTTAACCTTTCTCATCTTCTCCTCTTTGCTACACTCCATAGGACATAGTTTGTAGTCAAACTCACTATCTAGTCAGGACACGTCGATTTCACGCATTGCGGGAAAACGACATCACCTAGAGACACCGAATTTTGAATTTTGAATTGGTTTTGTATTTATTCAATACTAGCCGAAGTATCCGGCGTCTCTCGGGCTTTGCGCGAAGTGAACAGGTTGTATTTAGGGGGATTGGGAATTTTTTTTTTTTTTTTTTTTTTTTTTTTTTTCAAAATCCCAGGCAGACAGTGATTTTCTTTTTATTATGGTTCAAGAGGAATTCTGCAAAATTTTAATAAAGCTCGACTAAAACTATAGAACAGCGTAGAATTTGCTTTATTATCTCGGTTATATCTATTTTTCGGAAATAAGCTTCTACTTCCCTCGATCTCATCACCATTTTCGAAATATTCGGGAAAAACTGATAGACAGCTCACATAAATTCTGCTTCCCTGTACTAGAAAGTTCTACACTTCAGAGGTCAAACAACAAAAATCAGCGTTATATTTTCAAAATTTTCACAGGACTAGTTTCGATGGTTTTAGCGAACCACCATCCTCAGCTGCAAAACCGCATTTTTTGCGTTCGGTAAAACCATCGAAACTAGTCCTGTGAAAATTTTGAAAATATGTCGCTGATTTTTGTTGTTTGACTTCTGAATTAGTGTTTATTCGGCGTGTTATTGTGTCTTGAGTTCTACACTGTTGCAAAGAGTAAATGAACAGGGTGCCATACAAAAGTTCTAGTAAGAACTGATAAGAGAAAGCAATAACGGTGATGTGAATGCGAAGTGTGATGTGGTTTCAAATTTGAAACTATGTAGAAACATTGATTTTTTTTTTTTTTTTTATATATATATAAAACCTCTCATACATTCTTTGATTAGCATGCGTGACATCTACTGATAGCGAGAAAACAACAACGCTGACACGAACCTGCCATGGATGACGTGCACACAAGATGGGTGCAACGAGAATACCTTTCTAATGCAGTAATCTTGTTGGTAAGAAATGTATCTCGCCACATTGAATGTGAAAAAGAAAAAAATGTGGCGATTGCATTTTTTATTTATTTGACTGTAAAATAAACGTGTTTTTTCAGGTGACTTGAAGAATGGCTCAGACATTCTGGATTGGCTGATTACACAAAAAGATCCCTCTAGCGACATGATTGAAGAAATGGACGGAGACGAGCTTGAAGAACTGATAGAAACGGCAGACTTTCTTGCGGTATTGTTTTGTAAGTTCAGAAAAAAAAGGGGGGCTTCTGGAGCAATGTTAAGGCCTTTTGCTGTTTAATACATTGGTATATGTGGTGCACCTAGTACAAGTACCGATACAAATATGTCGAATTGCTTGTAAATCCACTCATTTATAGTCCTTATTATCCTCGTTTGCCTGTCCTGTAGAGAATTATAATAATTGGTCAATCTTTGGATTATGGTAACTTGGCTATTTTTTGGCGAAAATTTGGCGACCAACCCTGCTACATCAACCTGCTAGTTTTTGTTTGGACGCCATTTTGTTAGTGTCAGTTTGTGTTGCCATTTTGTTGTTTGTCGAAGTAAAGGCATGTTTTTTTTTTTTTTTTTTTTTTTTTTTTTTTTTTTCCCCTCAAAATTTTTTTTCCATCAATCTGCTAGCCCAATTACGCTTATGCTAGAACTTTTATGGAACAAAAGTGCTTAATCATGACGAAGATTAGGTGCGAAATTGGGAGAAAGTTCAGAATCGCAAACTGCTTGCCGCGTTTTTAAGAATTGCACATACACGGTATCCATGTACACGTCGACCTATTTTCACTTAAAAAAACATCCCAGAATTGCACAAAAATGGCATTGCGCACACTCTTGACTTTATCCATGTACACTGCTAAAGTCCTAGGTAGTAACCTTTATCGCTTTCCCAAAATGTCGCCAAACTACCTGTTACCATATTCCAAAGATTACTCTTCTAATTATATATTACAACTGAATTATTCTATATTCCTATATACTTATTTATCAGTGTTATTCAATGGAATACGACAAAGCACGCGATAGCACGTTAAGCCCTAACTCTACATTTTCTACATGCTTACACCGAAACAAAGCAGACACATAACTAACCGACAAATTTGGCAAGTTTATCAAAAATTAAGGTTAAATTTCTCTCTGTAGTGTAACTCCTTGCGCCATCTAGTCAAGGAAAGAAATACTTTTAACTCAATTTCTAATGCAGCTCATTCACTTAGATTGGAACCCAGGTGGAACTACCAGTGTTCAGTAAAATGAATAATGACATTTGGCGTAATCTATACAGGACATTCAAATAAGATTTTATTTCCTTTCCTTAAATATTGGCCTTATTTCCAATAACAAAGTAGAAATTTTATAAAAGCCCTGTGGATAGGAGAATGGTGTAGGCATAAAATCTAAACATTTCATAGGGTCATAATAGTCATAATACAGGGAAGACCCAATCCTCCTAGTCCCACTGGACCATATGATTATAAAGGGTCGACACCCTCAAAACCACAAAAAGAAAGAAGAGAGAAAAAGAAGCTAATTAACTAAAAATAATTGGAGGTTAATTAACGAACTAAAAATAAGGAAAAGACATACAAACAACGAAGCACAACACCAAACATTCAAATCCAAAAACAATTCAAACCCCACGGCAAACAGAGTGGGCGGAAACTCTCAAGAAACATTCATTCACATGAATTTTCGGAACAGGCACAGGCGGTCCAAAGCCATCGAGGAATTCCCAATTTAAATAACCTGCAGAAGGTCAAACCGAATTCCCTACAGTATTACTTTAATAGCATATTATTTGTATAATCATAATTCTATTTAAGCTATTAATTTATTTAAAAAATTTACTTTAATAGTCCTACCACTATCTGAATTCAAATGTATTAATTATCTTTAATAATCATAGAAAAGAAGCTCCAAGACTGCCAATAACCAAAACTGGAAAAATTAAGATTGCCATGTATCATATTAAAACTTTAGTAATTACTCTACATTAAGAACAGAATATAAGAAAATTTTAAAACTTTAAAATTTCAGAACATTTTAAATCAAAACTACAATTAAAAATTTAAGAAAAAATATAAAAAATTCTATAAAATTTAATTTAAAAATCAAAATCCTAAAACTCAAAACCACCATTAATTTCGATAATTTAAGTCTAGTAATCCATCAGGATTCTTAACATTTGCAAAGCCATATCTATGTAACAATTAACTGCATTTCCTTGAAATATTGTATGTATAAAACATCTACAATGCATTACATAAAACACTACACAGAAAAATTTCGAAATTTTCGTAGTAAACCTATAAATTCTCATAACTGAGAATATAATACATGTAATCAAAAGATAAATATACACAATACTAAACAAATATTCCAAATTCAACTCTATTAGAATTAATCAAATCCATTGCACATTTAGAATATGTTTTTAAGATTTCCAAGTTCCATGACTTATCTCCCAAACATTTCTTTCTCAATTTCCAATAAGGAACAATGATTCAAGAAGTGATCTGCGTTACCAACTTGATGGCAATGACCACACAAGTCTGAATTTTGTAAATTAAATCTCGAGAGGTACGCGGGAAATCTTTCATGCCCAGTTAAAAACTGGTTTAAATCAATATTACTAATTGGTCGCATACCATTTTGAATTTTAATAGACTTCAAAAGACCCACGCACCTCTCTGATTCATTCCATCTAGTATTCCAAATATCATTATAAAACTTTTTCATGTTTCTAATTGCATAACTTCTCGAACCAGAAATTTCTATATATTCATACAGAAACAAAAACTCTGCGGAACAAAAACGAGGTAATAAAATATTTGATTTAATAAATAAACATATAAAGTTCTATGCTTTTAGTTGCAAAATTAACTGCAGTATTCCTAATTAACACTATTTCATTGAACTACCTAAGAATTTAGTGAAGAGTAACAGTATTCAGTACCGTCCATTGACAGTTGCTTCAGCTTTAACTGATTCAGTACGAGCCGCTAATAAGTTACTCATTGATATTGACACATTAAATAATTTATTCAGCACAGATTATTAATAATTGATTCAATACAGACCATTAACGGTATGGACCATTAATAATTCAGTTCAGATTATGAATAATTGATTTAGTACATATCACCGGCAATTTGTTCAGTACGAATCATTAATAATTTATTCAGTACAGACCGTTAATAATTGAATCAGCACCAGCTGATTCAATACGAATTATTAATAACTGATTCAGTACGGACCATACGGATAATTAATTCAGCACTCATTGATTTAATACGGATAATTAATCATTGATAATTGATTCGGGAAGGACTGTTATGTGACCAGACGGATTTTTCTAATTCCGTCCTAAATTTCGTCCAATTTTCTTCAACTTCGATTTGAAATAAACACTGAAATCTTTTTAAATTCGCTGTCAGATATCTTTGCGAACTGTGAATGTTAAAAAATATAGAACCTTTTTAATTTAACTTTTAAACAGTAATGAATATTTTATATATAATCAATAATTTTGAATGACATTTCTGCTCGGCGATAAATACATAAAATGTTAAGTTTTCTACTTACAGAGCCCTTTTATCCCAAGCAAAAAAGCTGTTTTTATAATGAATGGATATATTTTGACATTCAGGTCATACTGGTTCTTTACACTTTTCAAAAATGTACCAAGTTCGTCTTAATACTGTTTTTGGCATAACATCTTGAAGGATTTTAAATTTTATTTTATTGATTAATTGACTGATTTTTTGGGGGGTAGAGGATGGTTAAGGACTTACACAGTTCAGGCTAGTTTCAAGAAAGTGATCACCAAATGGAATAAGATATTATCAGGGCTGCATTATAATCGAGTTCTTTACTTTTACTATTCAGAGATTCGATAGTAAACAATTGTCCAGTAGATTTTCAGTTTATTTTAATTGAGAAAGCCGTAAATATGCACATATGTGTCAGTATTCCTGAGGAGGTTAATACCTATATTACACTTCAACAGCATTTCTAAACGCTGAACGTCTGCCATTTTTATGAAAATATCTGCAAATGTAATTGCGCTACGTACCAAGTATAGTACTTTATTATTAGAAAGTTTTATGACGCATAAAAATTTTATGTTTATAATTGTTTTCACTTGCCTTCATTCTAATGTATTCAAAAATATTTGAATAGATGATCCCGACGAAGAGGACTGTCCAGAGTGTCAAGAAACTCTTGCTGATCTAGAAAATATCGATGACGACACCGACAGGCATGGAATATTATTTGTTAAAACCACGGATGACAGCATAGCTGCGGATTACGGCATAACGAAATTTCCCGCTCTTCTGTACTTTGAGAACAATGTTCCTAGCATATATGAAGGTATGAAATCTTTTTTTTTTTTTTTAATTTCGTACACCGTTTCCCCCTCCTTTTCTCTTGTACTTATGTATTACCTCATCGACCGTGAAACTGACGCCAAGCAGCGCGATTTAGAGCCAGTTATGGACTGCTTGGCGCTCTGCTTGCCTGCTGGCCGCGCTGCTTGGCGTCAGTTATGGAAACTGACGCCAAGCAGCGTGATTTAGAGCCAGAACGTGATGTTGCAACGCTCTTCTAATATCTGTACTTTCGTTCGGAGTAACCGCCGCTAAACAGTAGTGATGCAATGAAATTCAATTAATAGATTTCGTTATTGAGACGACTCACATTTTTATTATTCGTGATATAAAATTGTGGCTCAGTTCTCTAAATAGGATTCGTTGATCTAATATTCCCATTTAGCTGTGGTATAAATTGTATTTCTCCTTTTAGTGGACTAATATCCATTTTAAATAAAAATTGTATGGTATAAAAATATTTTTCTAAATTGTATTTCATTTTCTGTTCTCAATTACAGGTTATCAATAATGAAATTTGTAGTTATTATTAAAACACGAGCAATAAATTATTATCAAATTTTGAAATACAGAAAAATAACTGAACATCATTCAGAGAATGACTCTGAATTTCACTCGCTTTGAAATTTATTTATCAAAATTTAAAAAGAAAAAAAAAAAAAAAAAAAAAAAAATTGAATATCGCGAATTTGTTAAATGAGCCAAGATGGAAACTTCGTCATTAAGTGTAACAAGATTACAAACTCAAAAGGAATTTTTCTCGAATTTGTTTCAGAATGCAACATATTAAAAAAAAATGAAGAAAATTGCTCAATTAATATTATTTTTTATCATTATTATCATCAAAGTGGTTATACGGAAGAGCCCAGGTTCAAATCCAGGAGAAGGCATGAATGTAATTTGCCCGTCGCTTTATTGAAGGCAACGGTGGCCCACCTATTAGGCGCCTCTAAAATGAAGAGACCGTTCCTTAAATTTTATATCCGATACAACTTTTGTTTTCGAAATTTTAAACTTTTATATCCGAAGAAATTTTGGTTGGCGAAATTTTAAAATAATAAACGTCCAGAAAGGAGAGCGATTTTGAAAAATTTGCCATAATTTCAGAAATTAAGTTAGAGTTTTCATGCAAGTTTCATTGAAGCGATTTTCCTCCGCTCTATTCGATGGTGCCAATAGTAAATTTCTGATACGCTCTAGCTTGTTCGTTAAACGAAGATACGTGCCTAAAATCGTTTAAACATTAAATAAATGAAGTTTTAATAGAATTAACCATATTGCACTCAACAACGAACAGTATACAGTGGTGGCCAAAATTGTGGACACTTTTGGAAATTTTTATGTTTTTGAACTTTGTATGCTTATAGAAAATGTTACGTTTCGCAAAATGCAAACTTGTATATATCATTTTAAAGAAAATTTATGACTGAATTCAATACAAAACACAAAACTCAATTATTTGCAATACAAAAAAGTTATATGTACTTTAATATAAATAAAAAACACAGTTATGAAGTGGTTTGTAATGTCTAGCTTTTCTGGCCAATCACTGTTCTTGTTCTGAGAACCAATCAAATGTTAGTAACTGCCGGTTAGAAGCTGACATCATGTTTACACTTCCAAACAATTCATTATTTGCTTTGTTCTGTAGAAGGAGGACTGTTTCTTATACACTGCAATTACAATAGAAGTTTTTGTAAAAATTTTTAGTATTAGTCAGAAGCAATGACATCAAATAAAAAGAGATTGGACACCTGGAAAAGAGATTAGTATTTATGTGTTAGAGAAAAGTGGTCTTTCCTGTGTTGAATTGCAAGACAGGTGGGTGGTTCAGTGACTACATCTCGAGTCCGAAAGTTTTGTTTACGATATCAGGAGACAAATTCCATAAAAAACAAAGAAGGAAAGGCCGAAAAAGGTGCACCAATCTTTGATACAGAAGAAAAAAAGCCTATGTTCTCCAAGATGAAAAATGTCATCAGCGGCATCATAAGTGATCTGAATGATGCTGGTGTTTCTGTCAGTTCAAGAACAAACAGGAGAAGACTAACAGATGTTGGACTGAGAGGTAGAATTCCACGAAAAAAGCCTTATCTTAATTTTCAGCAACGAAAAAATAGACTACAGTAGGCAAAGGAACAAATTAATTGGACAGATGATCAGTGGTCACAAGTTATATGGAGTGATGAAACTAAGATATCGTTATTCGGTAGTGATGGGCTAAAATATGTAAGACGTAGAATAGGAGAAGAGCTACATCCTGACTGCATTCAAGCAACTGTGAAGAACCCAGTTAGTGTTAGGATTTGGTCATGCATATCAGCAGACGGTATTGGTCGCCTTCATGTCATCGAGGGGACACTGAATGCCAGAAAATACATTGACACTATTCTAGAACCAAAACTTCTGTCTTCCATCAGAGAGCTCTTTCCCAACACAAAGTACGTACAAAGAGCATTAAATTGTTGTCATGGCCAGGAAACAGTCCTGACTTCAATCCTATCGAAAATTTGTGGCACCGTTTGAAAACTCTTGTCCGAATGAGGCGCCTATCAAATAAAAGGGAACTAATTGAGGCTATAATTGTTTCCTGGCATCATGTAATAACGAAAGAAGAGCTTAAAACTCTTGTCACTCATGAAACTCGATGTGAAGCTGCAAATCAAAAATAAGTGTACCCTACTAAGTACTGATAACTCACTGCAATCATCACTATCTAATGTATATCGATAATTATTATCGTTTAACTTTTTTCGTATTGAAAATAATTGAATTTTGTGTTTTGTATTGAATTCAGTAATAAATTCTCTTTAAAATGATATATACAAGTTTGCATTTTGTGAAAGGTAATGTTTTCTATAAGCATACAAAGTTCAAAAACATAAAAATTTTCAAAAGTGTCATAATTTTGGCCAATACTGTATTTACTAAATTTGAATTCGATAACTTATCGGGAAGTATTTTAAAAAATCGATGACAAAATTCCATTCACAGTAAAACACCATGAGTGAACTAAATAAAAGCTTATAATAAAGAGGCGTCAGTTCTTCAGAATTCCGCAGAAGTGACTGGCAACGTTTTGGCAGGATTTCTGACAACTTTCACAGTTGACGGGGTAGTACATAAGTACCGATTTTTCCTAATTTCATTTGAATATGCAATTGCATTTTAGATTCTAACTTTTTGTTACCTTCAACAGGTGATATTGCAGCTGAGGAGGAAGTTCTTCAGTGGTTAATTCACTCCAAATCCGAAGACACCATTGAAACCGTGAATAAGGATATGTGCGATAAACTTATCGAAAGCACACCATACCTCGTAGTAGTATTCTGTAAGATTTGCATTTGAATAGATTGTTGACCGTGCTAAAGTAAATTGCTATAAATTACATCAATCTGCTAACAGAAATTGCTACTTGAAAAAAAAAATTCTTTCTTGTTTGCACTTTTTTCTTATAAATATCAAAGATTTAAAAAAAAAAAAAAAAAAAAAAAAAATAGAGAAGTATTGTAATGTACAATAGTTGGTAAAATGAAAGCTTTCATAAAAATTTAAACAGTTTTACGTTAAATATCTTTTTATGGAACATCATTACTTCCTTTGCGTATAAATCGATATTTTAAGCATAAAATATCTTCTACATTTAGTTGCAATTATTTAAGAGCCATTTATTATATTTAATATTATATTGATTATATTTAAAATCATTAATTGTTTAGTTGAAATCTAGGAATCGATCTGTACGCAGGATCTGTATGCACCTAAAATTAGTGATTATCCAGATAAAATCTAGAATTCGAATTGTATAATACACGTGTTTCAAAAGGAATATCTGTATTACTTAATAAAAGTGTTTTAATTCTATAATACTTGTCAACGCAAAAACATTAATTAAAAATGTTTTTACTTAAAAAAAATGAAAAAGAAATAAGATAAATTAAAAAATATATTGACTATCTATGGGTTTCCGAAGACTGTTAAAAATACATTTTTTTCAGGCGAAACAGTTTGCTTTTTTTTAAAAAAAAAGCCCAAAGGGCTATTAATTTCGTTTTGGCACTTTGCGTCGAAAACTTTAAAAGTCTGAATCACTTTTCAGTTTGTTGCCACCAAATATTATCGCCTTGTATTATATTTAAAGAATTAATAAAAATTAAATAATGAAGAATCTGCATGAATGTATGCATGTTTCTCGCATTGTGATAAAACAACGATACCTAGAGCCATCCAATTTTGAATAACGTACGTCTCCACCTGAATATGGGCATCTGGAAACCCAAGTTTGAAATTTGTTTTATTATCTGTTTCATATTTCGTAAAGCATTTATGAGCTTTTGATTAACAAACTCGACGATTTCAAAGCGAGCAATGGCAAATGTACGGAGGAAAGAAAAATTATCTCCAGCGCGCGAGACTGTGTATCGGAAATTCTAAAGATATGCACTTTTTATTTTGTGATATTGCTTTTGAATTGATTTTTATGGTTTAAGTACGAAAAACATGATATTTAATAAATAAAGGTAGCACACAAAACGTTAAAAAAACTCCCCTTTAGGCGTAATATAAAATCTGAAAGCTTCCAGGTTTTTTTTTTTTTTCGGTATACTATATAAATTAAAATTAATATTTTTTGTTGATTTATTTTTAAATCTCAGTTAACAATCCTCATCTAAAATTGAGTTTTCATTTATTTCCATTTCGTTCTTTGCATTATTCTGAGAATCTCATTCCGGTCATAAACTACCCCGAGCTTCATTTTCAGTACCAGCTCTCCACCAATAATCAGCTTGTTCTCCATCCATATAACTTAATATAATTATGGAATAGCATCAGCTTTTTTGCTTTCAAAGATAAAAAACATGATCGTTAGTTGGTAATATTTAGACGATCGACTTAATATATCTAAAATTAGTGATTATTTAGATAAAATATAGGAGTTGATATATATGTATATATATATATATACCGCATCTGTATCGGAACTAAATCACTAAAATTAGTGATTATTTATGTATGAAAATCGATCAGTCGATGTACTCGCGGGATATATCTAAAATTAGTGATTTTATACATAAAATCTAGAAATGAATTCTACGTCGGATATATAAAGCTAATGATTGTTTAGATGAAATCTAGGAAATCGATATATACACAGGATATACATTTAAAATCATTAATTATTTAGTTGAAATCTAGGAATCGATCTGTACGCAGGATGCACCTAAAATTAGTGATTATCTAGATAAAATCTAGAATTCGAATTGTATAATACACTGTGTTTCAAAAAGAATATACGTATTACAAAGTGTTATTTTGTCCAAACTATCGATCACTACGCCTCAGCTCGGCTATTGGCGAAACGAATACGTAGTCTAGTTTATGCTAATAACCGCTAGATGTCAGTTGTCTTCTGCTTTACGTGGTAACCGTCATATGTTTAAAATGGCTACTCGAAGCAGAAATCATATTGTGTTCGAGTTTGATACTCTGTGATTTCTTCCTGTGGCGTTTCATTAAAGACAACGTTTATGTATCACCACTCCCACAGAGCCTGGAAGAGGTGAAAAACCGCATCCGTACTGTTAAAACATCAGTGACGACGGATATGCTTGCCCGAATACGGGAGAGGAATTTGAGTATTGATGTGATATTGTTCGTGTCGCTGATGGAGGACTTATTGAACATCTGTAACATCTGTAATCCGAACTTGAGAGGTTCGTACCTATGTGTGTAAAGGTTCATATTCGTATGTCATACAGTTTTATAAATATATGCATTCGAAATACGTATACTCTTTTTGAAACACGCTGTATATCTAAAGTTAGTGAATATTTATATATATCTAGGAGTCAAATTATACTCCGGATATATTTAAATTAAGTGATCATTTGTATAAAACCTAGAAGTCGATATCTATTATGGATATGTCTAAAACTCATTATTTTATAAATTTAGTGATAATTTAGAGATGACGAATATTCGGAAACATACAGTCTCTAGTTCCATTCTTGAATATTTTCTTTTTTATTCTTTAAGGGGACTCATACACCTTAAACCCCATAAGATGCTCGAATAGGTGAGTGTTTCAAGAATTGGGATAACTTATTTATGTTAAAGGCAATTACTAGCTTTCTGAAATAGTAATCAGAAAGTTTGTGTTGCCACCAATATTTTTATAATTTAATCCACTTTGTGACATTTTTCGTCCTTTTTCCAACTTGCGCGCACAGTTTAAAACATTCTGTTTCATAATTTGATTCCATATTTAATACATAGCTTTTATAACATTTGGAAACTACTGTGAACCTAAAAATTCTAAGAATTTCACGTTAAAATTTTTATTTCATTTAGAGTTGTGTTTATAAAATGTATTTTATTAACAAAAAATATGTAATGTTTTCGTCTGGATAAAATTTTTTGAATACTTAAAATAATTCATCAGATTGTTTTGGTTCCGTTAGAGAAATAGTGCCTATATAAAGAATTCCCATCAATTTTCAATTATGTATGTACCATTAGCCATTTTTAAAATATGCGCGCAATGTGGAAAAATGGCGAAAACTCTTTGTCACAAAGAGGGATTAAACTTACAAAAATATTTCTGTCAACACAACTTTCTGGTTACTATTTTCCAAAGCAGCTATATTATGTAGTCAGCAGTAAAAAGTTGGAAGTAATTGCTTTTAAAATAAATAAAATATCCCAATTCTTGCAACAGTCAATTATTCGAAGATCATGAGGGGTTTAAGGTGTATGAGACCCCTTAAATAAACTTATAAATTTTTCTTTATTTAGATAAACCACAAAATAAACTATCAGAAGAAATCTTAGAGCATTTGGAGAACATTGATGGATTTACCGATGAGTACGGCATACAAATGGTGAAAACACAAGATAATACTGTCGGTAGACGTTACGGAGTGAAACAGTTTCCTGCTTTAATTTATTTCCGGAACGGCCACCCAAATGTATACAAAGGTAACAGTTTTCCTAATGAATAATTTGTTGGCGATACTGAACTTGCACATGAATATTGATTTTGAAGTTTCTTATATTCGCTTCGGACTTAAGCAGATATTTTATTACTGCTATGCATTTTCTCGTTGTAATTGACTGTAAATTTATCTTGCAGACATTTAACATTTTAGATACAAAAATATGGTAAATTTGTAAAGAACATTCTTCCTCGTAACCATCGTGTAATTGGATGCACGTTCGGCTAGTAATCGGAAGGCTGAGTTTGAGTTCCGGCAAGCGCAACGCTGACTTTTCCTGGTTTTTGCTCCGAAGTAAACCTAATGAATCAGTAATTGGCACACGGAGAGAAACTTTTGGCTGACTTTTCCTGGTTTTTGCTCCGAAATAAACCTAATGAATCAGTAATTGGCACACGGAGAGAAAGTTTTGGCTGACTTTTCCTGGTTTTTCTCCGAAATAAACCTAATGAATCAGTAATTGGCACACGGAGAGAAAATTTTGGCTGACTTTTCCTGGTTTTTGCTCCGAAGTAAACCTAATGAGTCAGTAATTGGCACACGGAGAGAAACTTTTGGCTGACTTTTCCCGGTTTTTGCTCCGAAATAAACCTAATGAATCAGTAATTGGCGCGCGGAGAGAAAATTTCGGTGTACCACCAAGGTGCCTGGGTCCAAGACCTTAACTCCTCATCGAAGAATATTGTAATTTGCGAAAGATACAGAAATATCTTTCAAAGACACTTAATATAAAAGATTCAATGATATCAAAGACAATTACTTCTGAAATTCATATTTATGTGGCATATATATTTATCTATCAAAGACAATTCTGAAATTCGTATTTACGTAACATATATATTTAGATATCAAAGATAATTAATTCTGAAATTCATATTTACGTGGCATAATTCTTTTTTTTTTTAAATTTATTTTTGGAGGTTTTATAAGAAGTAAAAGGTATACATTGGTGGTCTAAGTTAATAATGATGTAGGTCGGGCAAAGATCTCAAAAAAATTATTAAAATGCTATCTGGAAAGATATGAAAGGGAGGCCTTCGAACTGATGATAACCTGTCAAATCAGATGACATACATACATATATATAACTAATAGATATAAGTGTGAACCAATGGTGAGCTATGATAACTTAATAGTGAGAATACATACAAAGAATTATACACCTATATATAAAAGAGAGTACAAATTAAATGATACTTATATCCATTAATCTGGTAAGTTGCCAAGCATGACCATTGGTCTTTTGCTGAAAGATGTGTCATTTACATCATAATCATAAACACAGACCCTTATTACACGGTTATTAATGCGTTTTGGTCGTTAAAGAGTTTGCGAGAAGTGCGACAATAAAATGACCTAAGCTGGTTAATGCGTTATTAGTCATGTAATTCTAAATTCCTCACGTACCACAGAGAGTTAGTAATCTACCGCAGTACACAGTTCTGAGCAATTTGTAATTTCTTTCTGGGTGATTTGCATGAATGCGCCCAAACCGGGTAGGCATAACACAGTAGTGTAATTGGTGTCCGAGCTAAAATGACATTGAATTTGGAGACTAGCCTTTACGATAGCCCTTTACGATAGCCCTTTATCCGATAGACTTTCCGATAGCCCTTTATGTGGAGTAGAATGTAGGGAATTTTCTCCCTCCTTACTTCGCAGTGTAATTGTAAGCATGTCCGGCTAGCAATACACTTTCCATATCCTTTAACGAGCAGATATACGCCCTTGAGAAAGTAATCCGTAGGTTTGTACGCAAAATGCGCCTATGCTATGTTCTTCAAACCTATCAAAAATGCTTTGTTCTTCAAACACATAGCGAGAATTCGCTACGCAGTCTTTTTAATGTAAGGTCTACAGTGAATGCTCTCGAAACGAAAACACGAAGACTGTACAGTACATTATATATTTCTGTACAAATTTAGATTAGTTTTGATGCGAAATATAAAATGTCTTCTCTAAATTCTGATGTTTTCTCTTCTGTCTGTTTAGGAAACCTTAGGAATGAAGAGGCTGTTCTGGACTACATTCTGAGCGAGAATACCTTACAGCTTCCAGAAGAAATTGAAGAAGTCAACGGTAAAATGCTGGAAAAACTTATTGAAAAATATCAACTGCTGGCCGTTTATTTTTGTAAGTTTGCTTTATATATTTAATGATCGTGAAATAAGCATGGAATTCTTCTTTCTTTTAGATTTTAGTATTCCTACTCTTAATTTTCATGCAGGTTCAAGAAATCGAGCAGGCATTTTTAAGCATTTTTTAATAAAAGTGATTATTTTTGAGAGCTTTATTTAGTTCACTCATGGTATTTGCTGCTGTGGTCGAAAGTTTATCGCCGGTTTTTATACTACTTCCTGTTAAGCTGACCAGCTCACATTTCGTAGACGGACTGCTTGTAGATGACAATATAATCTGGAGAAGCGATTTTTTTTTTAAAAAAATTCAATTTAGATTCCTTGAGATTTAATACTGAAATAATTTTTCCACATACAGAGTATGTTTACATATTTTTAGAACGACTTCGATAAAGAATTTAAAAAAAAAGTGTTTTTGCATAAGCATTCCTGGCAACAGTTTATTATTTGAAATGAGAAATATCGCCCACCACTTTTAAGTTCATTCTTCTTTCAAAATATTGCATGTGAACAATTTGTTAATTGAAGAATATTTTCGTGGGCTTTACGAAGAGAAATATTCCTATTCCGCACTTCAAAAATATTTCGAAATGCGTGGTATTCAAATTTGTAAGTGCGAAATAAGCAACATTATTAATGGGAACGTTAAAAGTGGTGAATCATTACTTCTTGGTGGAAAAAAGACTCCAAACGAATACCCGAAAACGGTATGTATTGTTTTTACTTCCTTGTACGAAGTAAAAAGGAAGTATCGTAATCGCGAAAAGCTTCAGGCAGCATATTTCAACGAAAATATCCACTTTGTCCGCTTTCGAATGCAATTTAACGATGTTTTTGCGTGATATCTATACGTAAGGACAGAATAAAAGACTCGTTTCCTCCAAAAAAACTAAAAAACTCCTTTAAAATGAATTCTGAAGAGAATTTTTCGTGGCGTCTGCACGAACGTATGTACGTGCGTACGTAGTTCTCGCATAACTCAAAAACGAGTAGCCTCAGACGTTGAAATTTTATATAGGACTGCTATGACATGTAGATGTGCACCTCGTATTTTGGTTTCAATCGCCCGCCAAAAGTACATAAATATATTTATAAATATATCCACTCTGTTTACCCGGCAGTGATCTCAGTTTCTTTACTCTTATATGTTTGTAAATTGTACATTTTTTGCTTTAAAAATGATTGAATTATGTTGTTTTTATCTTCCGGTTAAGGGTTTTATGTCTTTAGTAAATCTGTATGCAATATTTTTAGAATTATCAACAATTTTAAAATTGTTTAAGCTCCGCTAGCCCTAATTTGATGGCGGCCATGGCTCTTGTTTACATTTGAAACAGCTGAGTAGCGGATTTGTTGCCAATCTAGAGAAACTTAGCTTCGCAACAACAAAGATAACGCCTTCATTTATTATTTAAATCATGCTTAATCCTTTCTGGAATTTTTTCGAGGAAATAGCGTTTAAGATTTAATTCGTAATTTTTAATACAGATATTTTGAGTTTTTATTATTTTTGCTTTGCGCGAGTGAACACTGAATTAATTGAATGAAAAATACTCAATCGTCTGTGAAAAACGTTTCTTTTTGTTTTGTTTACTTAATTCTTTATACATCATTCTAGCTTTATTATAGTATTTGAATAGAACATGTGGCAACGAGTAGATAATTCTTTAAATGATATACATTTTGTGCATTCTGAGTTATAATATGAAGGAAATATAATACTGTTAAGTAAACCTAGCGCCAGAGTGTCGCTATGGTAAACAAAGTGAATTTTAAAGAATGCATTTATTCTATTGTGGTTTATGCGCTGTCGGCGAAGTATGTTTAATTCAATCTAATAAGTTTAAATAAAATGTAAGAAAAAATGCGTATAATTTAATATTTCGTACAAGGAAGTCATGTGGTGTACACATCAGATTTTTTCTAAAGTCAAACTGGTGGTAAGAAGTGAAAATCCGCCGACGCAGAAAATCAATTGCAAAGTTGTTAAATACATCAGTCGTATTAATAAATAAAATAATAAACCAAAATTTAAGACTTAAAAAAGGTAAGAAACATAATGTTCACCAACTTTTACCAAGGCATGTGACGGGGCTGAGAACGATTTGTAAAACCCCGTATAAAAACTACTTAACAGGAGACAAAGGCAAATACATCGTTACTCTCGGTGAAGCATGTGTTTACTTAAAAGACTGAAGTCCCATTTACTATCGAAAAGGAAGAGAAAAATATGTACAAACTAGTTCCTCGATGCAAAGCAAGTTACTGTAAGGGGTTTATGATTGTCGCAGGTTTATTTTACAATGGAAACTTGAAAATAAGAATAATGGAAAAAATGTTTATACCAACATACTTTCAAGAGTAAGTTTTACTTCCGATATTTACAGAAGAAATTGCATTTTTTTTTTATCTCAATGTCTTTCAAAGAGGGAAACTTCATTTAGAGGAAGCTAAAAAATCATATTTCGAGAAGTACCATTGTATTCCTAGAAAAAATGAAGACTGATACAGGTATCACATATATACTACTTTTCCAACCCATTCCTACGAAGTTCCTTAACGTTTCACCTGTAGACTATTGTGTTTTTAGTCTTTCGAAGACATCTAAGCGCAAACGCGCCACGATAGATGGACTCTAGGAAGTATTGGGAGAGGAATGGAAATCCATACCCTTGGAAATTTTACAAAAAGCCCTTCTGGTTGTGGAAATCAGAATGCAAATGTTTAGTTCAGTAAAAAGGCTATTGGATCAAATATTTAAAAAATACTATACATTTTAAACATTAATTAAACGGCCCCGAAATCGTTCTGAAAATGTGTAAACACCCTCTGTATATCTTATTTTGCTGAACAAATTCAAAACTGAGTTGCATCATCGATTAGTGCCTAAAAATGTTTTGAATGGAGTTTACATGAAATCTGAATGTGTTCTCTGCCTTGTTAGCAAATTCGCCTTATATTTTTCAATTATTTGACGTAACAGAATTATTTGACATAAAAGAGCAATTTTTCATCTTCGACAAAAATATTTTTCATTTGAATAATTTGTTGAATAATGTTACATTGAGAATAAAAAGATATAAGTACGAATTTTTAAATAAGCTGTTATTTTGATGATTAACTTGTAGAGTCATTAGGATTTTTTGGAAGCCAGAGAGATGAAAAATTAACAACGCCTTCGCTGGGAATCGAACCACGGACCTCTGGAATACCGGCCCAGCATGCACGCTAGGTGTTGGATGCATATTTAATATTTGCATTTCTTTTTTTCTTTGTATATTTTATTTCCTCACTGCTTAATTTTATGTTATGATTTTTGCAATAATCTTGTTACTGGCAACGTGCTTATTTTACTATAAAGTTTGTGTGAATGGCAACAATTGTTCATGTTTATGTTCAGTAGAATAGCGTTCTTAGCCGCACTGCGCTGCAGGCAATTTTTTCTCTTAAAGAATTTTATGTTTAGAATAGCAATAAAGTTTATTGTGCAAAGCTGATGCTTTTTAGTTCAAGGCAACTATTTGGTTCCCCAGGTGAGGAATTTAATGCTATTTAATATATTGTAATTATATGCTTTAGAACTGTATTTAACGAGCTTTTAAGTACTAGTACTGCGAATCATCTGCATGACGTCAGAAAGATAAGCGGAAATATGTTTTGCTGCTTAAGTATCTTGTTGAAGTTATTTGTGATTATTAATCATTATTCATGGTAATAATGACAGAATTAAGTGAATCTGACAAGGTTTTTGGAAGAGATATTATAAGGAGTTTTTAAATTCCTTACAACAAAGATACAAATGGAAGCAACAACTTCCAAATTTGTCTGTAGGTGATATTGTATTAATTAAAGAGGACAACATGCCTCCTGGTGTTTGGCCTTTAGGTCGCATTGTTGAAATCCATCCAGGAAAGGATGGCAATGTTAGAGTTGTTACAGTAAAAACTGTTAATGGTTATTTAAAAAGACCTATAGTAAAACTTTTACCATTGCCATTGCATCGGGAATGATCATATGTTAATGCAATGGCAAGGGTGGGAGTTAATGTCGGATGCATATTTAATATTTGCATTTCTTTTTTCTTTGCATATTTTATTTCCTCACTGCTTAATTTTATGTTATGATTTTTGCAATAATCTTGTTAATGGCAACGTGCTTTATTTTACTATAAAGTTTGTGTGAATGGCAACAGTTGTTCATGTTTATGTTCAGTAGAATAGCGTTCTTAGCCGCACTGCACTGCAGGCAATTTTTCTCTTAAAGAATTTTATGTTTTAGAATAGCAATAAAGTTTATTATGCAAAGCTGATGCTTTTTAGTTCAAGGCAACTACTAGGGAAGTGGGAGAAATACCTTATATACTCCCCTTTTATAAAGGGGATTATTTATAAAGGGCGACTAGGGTTTTTAGGGGACCTAGTCGCCAAATCCTGGGTGCGGAGAATCATCATCCACAACCTTTTTAGTTCGGGTGCTACTGTAGAGACATTAGGTATGTTTTTGGAAGCAGAGCGATGAAAAATTAACAACGCCTTCGCCGGGAATCGAACCACGGACCTCTGGAATACCGGCCCAGCGTGCTACCGTTACACCATGAAGACACGCTAGGGAAGTGGGAGAAATACCTTATAAACTATAAAAAATATTTCGTCATGTACATTCATGGAATCTAAAGAATAAATAATTCTCTTTACAAAATTTATCTACAACTTCCTATTATCACGAATAATAAAAACGCGGTGCCTAAATAACGAAATCGATTTATATTGTCAAAAGTATAAGTTATCAATGTAATTTTATCAATGGCGCCCCAAGCTTTTATTATCCGTGAAAAGCAAAATCGTGTATAAATTTTGTAAAGAGAATTATTTAATCTTTTGTTCCCATTCACCTATGCGATAAATTGTTTTTTTTTTTTTTTTTTTTTCTCTTTTCCTCCTTTGATATTCCTTTTGTAGTGGAAATTACATCATATCTGATAGAACGTAATCTGGT